TTTTTAAGTTACTTTTAGTGAATGCCGTTGGTCTTCAATGATAACTGATAGAAGTTAAGATGAGAATTAGTCATCCCTCTGTGTGCCCTTCATGTATACCAGCATTATAGATTTTATCACATTGCTTTCCTACCAGGTACCTTGAGCACAGATACTTTTCTCACTCAGCCATTTCCTCTGTGACTGTCATGTAGGAAGCACGTAATAAATATGTGTGGAAGGAATGCAGTATTTTTTCCGTGTTCACTTTTAAGCTGGTAGATGAAAGTTTTAGTGACTTCTAAGACACTTCATTTTTTTTTTTTTTTTTTTTTTTTTTTTTTTTTTTTTTTTTTTAAGAAAAGTAGGAACCATAAGAATTGGTCCTGCTGTTCTGGTAACATCATCGTCATACTAGTGAAGACTAACTCTCTCCTGGCCTGATTTGTGCTGTATAGCCACATGGAAAGGCAGACCTATATCCCCTTGCCTCCCCAGGGGTTTATATGATGCTTGTCCTTCAGAGAACTGTAAAGGGGTAGCCTGCTTTCAGATTTTGTGCTTGTGTGTATTTTCCCCTATACCCAGCAAATTTGCCCTTCACAGAAGACAAGCCAATATTTCTACTACTGCCTTGGCCTTGTGCATACTGAATGGGTGAGATTAGGTCATGACATACATGCAATAGCTTTATTTTCTGATTTACAAGTTGACAACTGTATTAGTTATAGGTGTGGCAGGGCCACTTTGAAGCTGAAAAAGGGATCTTGTTGTTTTGATGGATCTGAATTTTATTAGAGCCATGTTTTTATATTTTAAATTACCAAATAGATTGACATTTTTGAATATCCTACCCAGCTTCTGTAGTAATGCAGTAATAGGGATTTAGACTCTTTCCATTATTGGATCCTAACCCCTGGTGTGCATCAGAATCATATAGGGAGCTTTCAGACAGTCGTGAAGCTCAGGCCTCTCCCTAGACAATTAAACCAGAATCCGTAGGAAGGGGCTGGGCATCAGTCTGTCTTCTGCAGGTGATTCTGGTGTTCGGAGGAGATAGAGAACCAGTTAACTGGTCTTTGGTTGAAACAGGTGTTAAGCAGGACCTTGCCTTACAAGTTTAGGCCATTGCGTCATAAACTTTGCTGCATTAGAATCACTTTGGGAGCTTTCGTAAAATCCCAATGTCCTGGTCATCTGAATACTAATTAAATCAGCATATCAGGACTGGGAACCAGACATCAGTAGTTTTTAAAGATCCCTAAGTGCATCTAATGTGCAGTAAAGTTTGGGAACTGCTTGTTTAGATTGTTATTAAAGAAATATTTATCTTTTTCATACTTTTCCCCACCTAATTCTACCTTTTAACTGTAGGAGCTGAATGCCAAAGCAGCTTCTCTCTTTGAAACAAATGATGATCACTCTGTAACCGAGGGCATTAATGTGATGAATGAGCTGATCATCCCCTGCATTCACCTTATCATTAATAATGACATCTCCAAGGATGACCTGGATGCCATTGAAGTCATGAGAAACCATTGGTGCTCTTACCTTGGGCAAGATATTGCAGGTATATGCTCTTGCTAATAACGTTCTAAGGTTTTGAGAATTCTAGAAATTACAATGTTCTCACTTGATAGTACTGGTTGCCAAACCTTTTTAAGGAATTGGAACCTCCTAGCATATAAATAAGTTAAAAGTGGATCTGTTTTATTGAAACAAAGGAAGGGAGCCTGGGCCTCTGCCCCTTTTAATCTGCCTTTAGCTTCCCCATGACTGCTAAATCACCTCCATGGGCAACCAACAAGCCCGGTTTGAAAAACATCACTGCTCTCGAGGAATGTCAGACTTCTACCACCACCCTTTCATGTGCCAAAAGACAAATGCCTTTATAGTTTAAAAATCAAAATCTGGCCGGGTGCAGTGGCTCACTCCTGTAATCCCAGAGCTTTGGGAGGCTGAGGTGGGCGAATCACCTGAGGTCAGGAGTTTAAGACCAGCATGGCCAACAAGGTGAAACCCCATCTCTACTAAAAATATAAAAATTAGCCGGATGTGGTGGTGGGCACCTGTAATCCCAGCGACTTGGGAGGTTGAGGCAGGAGAATTGCGTAACCCTTTGGGCGGAGGTTGCAGTGAGCTGAGATAGCACCCTTGCAGTCCATCCTGGGCCATGGAGCAAGACTCCAATTAAAATATAAAAAAATCAATCTACGTATGTAGAGTATGGTTATGGGAGGGTGCCTTGACTAAGTTTTTCTGTGGCTTGAAGTTATATTAACTATGATGACTTCAAGGTTAATTAATTAGTGGAATATCCTTGGTTGTTTAAAGCATCTTGAGGAGGGAGCCTAAAGCTGATTGTTTTTAGGTGAGGTCAGTAGACTTGGAAAATGGCTATATATTCTGATATAAATCCTCTTTGTTAGTTTCTCACTGATACTCCATTGATGGGGCTGGGCACAGTGGCTGATGCCTGTAATCCCAGCACTTTGGGAGGCTGAGGTGGGTGGCTCACTTGAGTCCATGAGTTCGAGACCAGCCTGGGCAGCACAGTGAGACCCTGTCTCTACAAAACATGACAAATTAGCTGGGTATAGTAGTATGCACCTGTAGTCCTAGTTCCTCAGGAGCCTAAGGTGAGACGATTGCTTGAGGCTACAGTGACCTGAGACCTTTCTGTTGCACTCCAGCTTGGGCAACAGAGTGAGGCCCTATCTCCAAAAAAAAAAAAAAGATAATTCTATTGACTTGTTCAAGTGTGTAAGGTGATAGTATTTATTTAAAAATTCTGGGCTGGGCACAGTGGCTTATGCCTGTAATCCCAGCACTTTGGGAGGCCGAGGTGGGCAGATCGCAAGGCCAGGAATTTGAGACCAGCCTGGCCAATATAGTGAAACCCCATCTCTACTAAAAATACAAACATTAAATGGACATGGTGGTGGGCACCTGTAGTCCTAGCTACTTGGGAGGCTGAGGCAGGAGAATCACTTGAACCCTAGAGGTGGAGGTAGTGGAGAGCCGAGATCACACCACTGCACTCCAGCCTTGGCAACAGAGCAAGACTCCATCTCAAAAAACAAACAAATTCTGGGCTGGGCGTGGTGGCTCATGCCTGTAATCCAAGCACTTTGGAGGCCAAGGTGGGCGGATCACCTGAGGTCAGGAGTTCAAGACCAGCCTGACCAACATGGTGAAACCCCGTCTTTATTTTATTTAAAAAAATGTTTAAAAATTCTTAAAAACAAAACAAAAACAAATTCTGTAATGACTAGTTGCCATGTCTTTTCCTTTACTGTCTTCAGTTTTTATTTAGTCCAAGCTTGTCCAACCTGAGGCCCACACAAATTTGTAAACTTTCATAAAACATTCTGAGATTTTTTTTTTTTTTGAGACGAAGTCTCACTCTGTTGCCCAAGCAAGAGTATAGTGACACAATCTCGGCTCACTACAACCTCCATCTTCCAAGTTCAAGCAATTATCCTGCCTCAGTCTCCCAAGTAGCTGGGACTACAGGCATGCGCCACCATGCCCAGCTAACTTTTCTGTATTTTTTATTAGAAGTTTCACTATGTTGGCCAGGCTGGTTTTGAACTCCTGACCTTCGTGAGCCACCTGCCGTGGCCTCCCAAAATGCTAGGATTACAGGCATGAGCTGCCATGCCCAGCCAAATTTTTTTAAAAACTCACCAGCTATTGTTAGTGTTAGTGAGGTTTATGTGTGTCCCAAGACAATTCTTCCAGTGTGGCCCAGGGAAGCGAAAAGATTGTATACCCCTGATTTAGACCATGTATGATATGTAGCTTTACTTAAATCCATGTGTATACATTGACATGTTGTAAACATTTGAAAGAAAGTATTACCATCATATCTATGTCAGAGTATCATATCTACTTCCTCATATTGAAAAAAGACGATTAGAAGACCCTTTCATAATGAAGTAAATATATAGTGTTATTTTGCCAACATCAGGTGGCCTAAAGCAGTGACCTAAAACTTTGATGTATTTGCATTTGCTCCTGGTTTGCCTGAAGGAATCATCATTTATTATTAGCTGGCTAGCATAATGCTTTGACCTCTGAAGTTAGGTAAGGGGCTAATAGAAGGCCTTCCAGGCTTGTTCACTTTTACTCGGAGATCTATTGGGCTGTATATGTAACCATCTGCTTTCCCTCCACAGAAAATCTGCAGCTGTGCCTGGGGGAGTTTCTACCCAGACTTCTAGATCCTTCTGCAGAAATCATTGTCTTGAAGGAGCCTCCAACTATTCGACCCAATTCTCCTTATGACCTATGTAGCCGATTTGCAGCTGTCATGGAGTCAATTCAAGGAGTTTCAACTGTGACAGTGAAATAAGCTCCCACGTGTTCAAGGCCCATTCTGGTTTCTGGCTGCCTGCCCCTTGCACAGAAGTCCGTTGTCACAGTGCTCACCTTGGGAAAAGGATTAGGTGGGCACATAAGATTCCAATTCAGACCCCAACGATGCTGGGTGTGTAAAGAAGGATTGAAAATAAAATTGCACTTTTTAGGTACAAAATCATAAAAGCTATTTCACTAGAAAAGGTGGAAACCAGTGTATTAAGGTGTTGAATTATGCCAGAAGACCTGAAATGCCTTGTACCTAGAACAATGCTTAGCCTTGCCACTTTTAAAACTATCCTTCAGGCATAAATATTTTTGACAGCAGAATAGAATGATTCATGAGAACCTGAACTAGATGAACAGCTACTAGTTATTTTATCAAATACAGATGACATTTAAAAATTCTTCACTACAAGAGATTAGAAATACAAACCTTGCCTGGCTCTTGACAGGAGATGACAGATGGGTTGTTGATGGACCCTTTTACATGTGGGTAGAATGTAAGGTCACATGGCAGTAAGATGCTGAAAAGTCAAAGAAGACCTGTCTCTCTCCTTTCTTTCCATCTTTAAATAAACCAGAAAACCTTATACCCAGCCCTCAGTGAAAGAAAGGAAATCATTAAGGACTTCAGTCAGAACAGCATTTTGTAACTTGACTAAAGATCATGCGTTAATAGTTGTTAGGCAATTAGGTAAAATTTTCTAATATCTGAAAATTGTCAGAAATGGTCTAAGGCTACTACTGGCTCCAAAGACCATTTTGGTCTGCCTCCTTTTTGTTCTTTTTTTTTTCCCCCTCCCCCGAGATAGTCTCACTGTGTTGCCCAGGCTGGAGTACAGTGGCACCATCTTAGCTCACTGCAAACTCTGCCTCCTGGGCTCAAGTGATTCTGGTGACATAGCCTCCCAAGTACCTGGGATTACAGGCATGTGCCACAACTGGCTAATTTTTGTATTTTTAGTAGAGACAGGGTTTCACCATGTTGGCCAGATTGATCTCGAACTCCTGGCCTCAAGTGATCTGCCTGCCTCAGCCTCCCAAAGTGGTGGGATTACAGGCAAGCCACCACACCCAGCCTTCTTTTTTGCCCTTAAAAGTAATTTGTAAAAAAAAAAAAAAAGAAAAAAAGAAAAAATATAAAGCGAAAGAAAGAAAGCACCATACATACGTAAAACTATATATATGTATATGTAGAGAAAAATATTTCCCGTTGATCATTTTTAAAAGGCTTCTGATTGGATATTGTATTTTAACCAAATTTTTAAAGAGTAATCGAGGAATCATGAAAGGGAAGAACACTTGATACAACTATGCAGATTTTATAAATGTGCAATAAAAGTTTTTGTTTTACATTTGGTGTACAGTATGGTCCTTATTTAAATATATATTTTCCATTTGGGAAATGGACGTACTTGCTATTTGTCTTGTTCCAGTTTTTCTTCTTTAAAACCAAAAAAGCAGATTAAAGCATTGATAAACTTGGTGGGGACTGAAGTGCCAGTATTTGAAATAAAAGGCAACAGTCAACTCTTGAGCAGCACCTAGTACCTTTTCATCTCATTGGCTATTTGCATTGCATGTAAGCTTATCTACTTTGTAATTTGTCAAATTTTAGAATGCAAAAATGGCAATTTTCTTAAAATGGAGTTTCTTATAAAGTCATCCCTCAGCAGACACCGGCAGTTGCTTCCAAGATTGCGCATACCAAAACCCTTGCATACTCAAATTCTGCAGTAGGCCTTGCAGAACCTACGCATAGGACAAGTTGACCCTCCATATGCTTGGGTTTTCACATCCTGCGAATACTCTATTTTCAATCTGCATTTGGTTGAAAAAAATCCACGTGTAAGGGGACTCATGCAGTTCAAACCTGTGTTTTTCAAAGGTCAGACTATTTTGATTAATGGTCGGTCATGTTTTACAGATGCTCGGAGGTGCTTTAGTGTTGTAAAGCTCATTGCAAAGATTTGTTTCATGGGAAGTTGATCCATTTTCTTACCCACCGATTACCTTTTACTGTTCAGCATTCTATGTATCACCAATTGCCTTTCACTTTTTTTTTAAAACCCTACAGCACCCAGTATTCTGCCTTTCACTTTTTAATCTCCTGCCAATATTGAGTCCTGTGTGCAGTGCTCCAATTATATTATTTTACTTAACACTATTTTACTTAACCCTGGGATGATGATGGGGGCATGGATTATCCAAGGTCATCCTTGGTGTGTCTGACTTCATAGCTTGTGCTTTTAACAGCTGCTCAACTGTCCTTGGTAGTCGTGTAAAATATTTTGTTTTGTGCTGCCTTCACAGTAGTTATTTCCTGGTCAGCTATTGGGAATCCACAGTTGGCCAAGAAAGGAACTGATGGACATCTGGAGTGTGTGGTGCTGAGTAGTCTGTGTCATTTGAGTCCACAAGGGGGAGTGCTGAGAACTATTAATAGTTTCTTATTCCTCACAGTAGCTGGCTGCCTTTAGGTATAACCATAGGGCTCCACAAACTAAGGTCTCAGACTGTGGTTTTTTTTNTACAGCTGACAAACTAAGAATTTTTTCTTTTTCTTTGAGACAGGGTCTCACTCCATCCCCCAGGCTGTAGTGCAGTGGCACGATTTCAGCTCACTGCAACCTCCACCTCCTGGATTCAAAGGATCCTTCCACCTCACCTCCAAAATAAGACCACAGGTGTGTGCCATCACGCCCTGCTAATTTTTGTATTTTTAGTAGAGATGGAGTTTTGCTGTGTTGCCCAGGCTGGTCTCAAACTCCTGGGCTCAAGTGATCCCCCTGCCCCAAAGTGCTGGCATTCTAGACATGAGCCACTGTACCTGGCCTGTTTTTTACCTTTTTAAAGTGTTAAGAAGAACAAGGATATGAGTAAGAAGCCTATGTGACCTTTGCCCAAAATGATTTAAGAGTTTGAGCAGGATACTTCACCTCAGCATAAAGTCTCTTGAGACTGGATTTAGATTAATGTAACTGGAATTGCAATCATCTTTTGTTTGGATTTGTTAGCTCCTTTAAGAACTAGCAGACATATTAACTCATTTTTACTCTATCTGCTTCAACAACGTATGAGATAGAAAACATACGACAAAACAATTTAATGAATGAGAGACAAGGATCGAATGGAGTGCTGGGGACGTAGCACTGGTAGGATAGAAGGGGAATTAATTGTGCCAGAAGTCATGTCCTTGCTCTTTTTATTGGATTTCATTGTATGACCATATTCACCATGTATTGTCCTTTGAGTTTCCCATTTTTGGCTGTTATGCACGATTCTACTAAGAACATTCATTGAACATGTCTTTTGATGCACACATGAATGCATTTCTGTTGGTGTATAACTAGAAGTAAAACTACTGGGTCATATAACTAAAGTGGTTATACCAGTTTGATCCCACCATCAGCTTATGAGTTCCAGTTGCTCCATATGCTTGTCAACATTTAGTTTTGCTGGTAGTTTTAATTGTATCTGTTCAGGAAAGTGTGCAGTGATAATCTTGTGATTTCAATTTGCACTTCTCTACATACTAACAACACCGAGCATCTCTATATGCTTACTGGCGTTTGGTCATTGTTTTCTGTAAAATACCTCTTTCAGTCTTTTATTTTTGTTGTTGGATTTTTTTGTCTCTAACCTGTTGATTTGTAGTTCTTTATGTCTTCTAGTTATGGAGCCCTATTGGTTTTATGCATTGCATGTATCTTCTTTTACTCCATGGCTTTTCACTCTTGGTGTCTTGAAGAAAATAAGTTTTTGATATTAATATAGTTGAATTTATTCATCCTTTCTTTCATGATTAGTGCATATCATGTCCTCTTGAGGAAGTTATTACCCAGGGTCATAAATATATTCCATTACCTTCCAGAAGTTTCACCTTTAATAGCTGATTGACCAAACCCTGTTTATTGAAGACATCATCCATTTTCCAGTGCCTTGCACTGCTACTTTTGTCATAAATCAGGTGTGTTCACGGGGGTCTGTTTCTGGAATCTTTTACCTGTCCCATTATCCTATTTGTCTGCTTGTACCAACATCACACTTTCTTAATTAGTGTAGCTTTGTAACAAGCCTTTATTTCTTGTTTTCTGGTGAAACAACTTCCCTCCAGTTTTGTACTTCAAGATAGTCTTGCCTGTTCATTTCTTGTTTGTTTGAACAGGGTCTCGCTGTTGCCCAGGCTGGAGTGCACTGGTGTGATCATGGCTCACTGCAGCCCCAACCTTCCAGGTTCAAGTGATCCCACCTCAGCCTCTTGAGTAGCTGGAACTACAGTAGCTTGCCACAACACCTGGCTAATTTTTGTATTTTTTGTAGAGATGGGGGTCTCACTATGTTGCCCAGGCTAGTCTTGAACTCCTGGGCTGAAGTGATCCTCCCAGCTAGGCCTCCCAAAGTGCTAGGATTACAGGCATGAGCCACTGAGCCTGGCCTCTTTGCTACTGATCCTTTGCATTTTGGTATAAATTTTAGGATCAGTTTGTTAGTTTCACACATGAAGGCACAAATCTCCAGGGATTTTTGATGAGGTTTACAATGACTAGAGATAATTTGGTAAAAACTGACATCTGCATGGTATATCTAATTTTTTAAAGATTTTTCTTAATTTTTATATAAAGGTCTTCCACATCTTCCAAAAGATTTATTCCTGGGTTTTTGAAGTTTTGACATTCCTGGTAAATCTCATTTTTCAGACTGCATTTTTGTTTCTTCTCATATCTAGAAGTGAATTGATGTTTAATTCTAAGTTTATAGACTTCAGAAGATTTTTATATACATAATTATGTAATCTGTGAAATGCTGATTTTCATTTCAAATTTTTACTCTCTTTTTTTGAGACGGAGTTTCGCTCTTATTGCCCAGGCTGGAGTGCAATGGCGCCATCTTGGCTCACGGAAACCTCTGCCTCCCAAGTTGAAGCGATTCTCCTGCCTCAGCCTCCCTAGTGGCTGGGATTATGGCATGTGCCACCACGCCCAGCTAATTTTGTATTTTTTAGTAGAGACAGGGATTCTCCATGTTGGTCAGGCTGGTCCCGAATTCCTGACCTCTGGTGATCCACCCAACTCGGCCTCCCAAAGTGCTAAGATTACAGGCATGAGCCATCATGCCCGGCCCTTACAATTTTTATTTATTTTTCTTGCTTGATTATACTTACTAGAAC